GGCTCGGCCGGGAGCTCTGCCTCGTCTGGGTCTGCTTCGACGTGCTGTGCTGCACCGCCAGCATCTGGAACGTGACGGCCATCGCGCTGGACCGCTACTGGTCCATCACCAGGCAGCTGCAGTACACGCTGCTCGCCCGCCGCCGCATCTCCAACGTCATGATCGCGCTCACCTGGCTGCTCTCCGCGCTCATCTCGCTCGCCCCTCTCCTGGGCCGGGGGGAGACCTACAGCCCCGAGCAGGAGCGCTGCCAGGTCAGCCAGGACCCGTCCTACACCATCGTCTCCACGGGCGGGGCTTTCTACCTGCCCCTCTGCGTCGTGCTCTTCGTCTACTGGAAGATCTACAAGGCGTCCAAGTTCCACATGGGCAGGAGGAACGTCGTGGTGCCCCTGCCGGAGACTGCCCAGGTAAGGCTGAGGAACGGGAGAGCTTCGCTGCCTCCCCAGGCAGCTGTGCTCCTGCTGCTCCTCTTGTCCCAGCCGTCACTCCTGCCTGGGTGGTTTTGTCGCTGTGAGGAGGCTCTGAGCTGCCCTGGGGCTCCCTGTGAGTTTGTCTCTTGGAGACTGGGTGTGAACAGTAATTAGGCAGTCAAAAAGCAGCACTGTTGGAGAGGAGCTTTATTCTGTTTTTTCCCTGCGTGTCATAAGGGACAGGTACATCCACTGCCAATCTGGTGAGCCATCTAAAAATCCTATATTTGCTCTGAATTTGCCATTCCTTGGGGTCTTTGCCTCTTTATTTTATTTATGGTGTTGGTGGGGTAAACAAAAGCAGAAACAGATCCCTAGGTCCTGTGCAGAGTAAATGCATGACATTTATCTACCAGCACAGATTCTGAGTGTCTGAATAGATTTTAATAAGCAAATTATACACTTGATTGATGTTCTTGGGCTGTTTTGCTTTGAATACTGCTCACTGCATAGTGTTGAAGCAATGAGCAAATTTAATTATTTCTAGTTGAAAATTACCGGTCTTAAAAGCCACATTCGTGTTATGGTCACAAATAAAAGTCTGTAAGTTGTGTCCCCACATTACAGCAGGAGATAACAGCACTGGCAGTCGGTTGGACTTGCAGATTTGGATCATAATATCCTGAAGATTTTTTAATATATACTGATTTATGAAGGTGTTTTCTATGCAAAAGCATAAAATCTGTTAGAAAAGTTGAGACTGTCTCCTCTAGTGCCATTCTTTTTTCCCCTATGACCTTCACCCCTTAGTTTGTACCAAATTTCTGGCCAAATTATTTTAAGTATGATGAATGTATTACTTGGAGATAATGTAAAATCTTTCCAAGCACAAAAGCCAGCTGATTTGTTATAGTGGTTTTGCAAGCTTTATCTTTTACATACACACATACTCATACAAAGGACTGGTGATTTAGAATTAAAATTCTGGGGAGCTAAATGAGCAGAGACATTGCTGCTTAAGCCAATACAGAGACACGTTGGTATGTCAGTTTCAGCAAGAAAAAGTCTGGCTCCTAATTGTCATAGTTCTCCCTGCAAAAGCCCTAGCTGGGCCCAGCATGGCTGGCAGCTAAGTGCTCTTTGCTGGTGCAGCGTCTGGGAGCTGGTTTAGGCTGTACTGACAAAAGGGCCCTGTCAGTGTGAGCTGAACACCCAATTTGGAGAGGTTGCCAGCCTAGCTGTTATTGCAATACCAGCAAATGCTCAAGCCAGTGGTTATTTATCTTTCCTATATTGGCTGTGATTGATCTATTAACCTCTCCTTTTACAACAGAGATTCTTGAATCTGCAAGTGGTATGTAGTGGCAACTTTCCCCATTGTCCCAGCAGCTCCATTTGCTGACTCAAAAAGATTTTTGTGATTCAAATGCAAACCTTTAGTCCTCACCTAAAGGAAGAGCTGAAGCCCAGCTGCATATATATACATTAAATGAGCCTGTGGATCAAGGGGGATGACATTCAGGATACATTTCTTCTCAGCTTTCTTTTAAGAGACTGAGACTTGGTCAACAAGTTGTATCCTGATCTTATTTATGCTTACAGGAGCAGGATCCATCACATCCACAGGAAGAGTAGCAGTTCCCAGTGAGTTCTGGAGGGGAATCTTCAAACACATCACTCTTGTTTCTTTGGCAGTACCTTTTTTTTTTTTAACGTGCAAACACAAAGATAACATTGCCAGGGTATGTGGTAAACCTGGCCAGGTGATCCAGCTTGGCTTCTCCCCATGCAGTGGTAATCAGGCTGTGAGCATCAGCTCTGTCCTGCTCTCTGATGGGGCAAATTCTGTTCTGCTGCTTCTCTTGGTGTGCTCATCACTTCACTCTAATTTTCCATTTCTTTCTCCCTTAAAGTCTCTCCTTCCTGGACTTTGTTTCATCCCTTCCTTCTCTGAGTATGCTCACCATTCATACTCACCCTGGCAACGTTTTCCTTCTGTCACCATTACTCTGGATGTGAATTGCCCTCTGCATCCGTGTCAGTTCTCTCTCCAGGTGCCCTGCACTAGTTATCTGAGGAACATTAGAGGGGGTTTTGGCAATGCTTCCCTGTCTGGAGGTGAGCAGTGACAGCAGGGATCCCTGCTGGGAGCAATGTCTGTGTTGCACTCAGAATTAGCTGTCAGGTAGCACTGGTATGGAACTGTGTGCTAGGGCTGCAGTTTGGGGCTTGAGGTATAACCAGCTGGATAATTCTGGCAACTTTAAAGAGGAAGAGGTTTGAGTTCATAGTATTCATACATCAGTAGGAATGTCTTGAAGAAACTGAAGCAACAAATGGAACAGGGTTGATGTTATCTTGACGTTTTTGCACTGTGCTTTCAGCCAGCAGAGCCAGGCACCAAAGTGCTTTGCAGGTTGCCACAAAATTTATATATTTGGTTTTTTTCACAGGGAAAGACATTTCTTCCAAGCTGAGAGTTAAAAATTTATATATTTGTTTTTTTTCACAGAGAAAGACATTTCTTCCAAGCTGAGAGTTGACATGTACACCGTATGTTTCTATACTCTTACAGAGGTGCAGAATAGAAAGGATACAAAATAGCTATTTTGGGTCACTTTTCATTAAAATTTTACTTGTGTTATCAAAAACATGTTTTGAAAACCTTTGAAAAAATGGAGGTGCGGGACATGGACATGAAATGTCTGAGGTGCTTCTAGTTTTAATGAGAGCTTGTTTCTTGTTTCTTCAAACAAACAAACAAAAAATTCAGAAATGGGACCCTAAATTAATCTGGTGCTTTTATAATTGTTTGTTTGCCAATTATGAGTCTCCTTAATAAGTGAATTCTACAGACAATAGTGACGTGGGTGACCCATGTAAAAAACCCTAGTGACATACCATCACTGACAGAGAGCTGTGCTCTGTCACATCTTGTTGACAGGAGGTAATAATTCTCTCTGTAAACAGCCCAATTGAAATAAATGAGACTGCTTGAAAACCAGCAGGTACTGTTGCATGGTGCCCTTTTAAATCAATGAAGTCCCTTGTAGCATAGGTTTTGCCCAGCAAAACCATGATGACAGGATCTGAATGTCTGGATTACTTACAAGTAGCAATTGCTGATTTGGGATTAAATTTCCAAGTAGGGAGTTGAAAATCAAGGTCTGTTGATGGTTGGGGTTTTTTAGGTTGGTTGTGTTTGGTGTTTTTTGTTCCTCTCAGGGTGCTGGTATAGTGTATGAGAAATGAGGCATGATGCAAACCTTGCAGTTCTGTGACCGCTGTTCCCCCTTTAGATAGTATCAGGCCCCAAATCTTGAGCAGTGCAGTGCTGTTTTGTACCTTGTACCCTTCAGCTTCTTCAACCCACTTAACCAGTCAAGACAATATGGGAGAGAAAACAGATTCTCCTTCTCTGAGGGGGTCACAGGCCTTCCATTTCTTATTTCTGCCTCTGACTGGACAAATAGAAAAGATGGGTCAGGAAATAAAGTTCAACTGTCTTGGAAGAGTGACAGCAAATGTCAGATAGGAGAAAGGTGAGGCAGGAATCAGTGGAGTGGTTAGTGATTTCCTGAGAGAAATACAGAGTTATTCCTGCTTACAGCAGAAGAAAATGCAGGTGTTCTCCCTATCAAACAAACTGTTTCTTGTATTGGTGAAGCATCCAAGAAAGTCTACACATTCCTGTGTTTTGATCCTTTGCTGTGCATTTCAGTTTCTCGTGTTCTTGTTCAAAGAGCAAGAAGTCTGCCAACACTGCACTGAGGCAGTAATGACCTTTGATGAATCACTGCAATAGGCAAGACCCTGAATTTGTGGTAGTAAGTCAGATTTGATTATTTTTATCATCTTTACTCTTGTTTTGCTATTGCAGGCCCTGGAGGTACAGGACAAACACACAGAGTATCTGCCATGGAGGACCAGTAATAACAATCATTAGAGCTATAAGGAACATTTTAAATCAAGGGATTTTGTCAGATGCTCCTTAGTAGCCTATTTTTTGTGACACTGCTAGGAACACAAGATTGGGAACACACAGCTCTAGGAACATAGAGCCATTTAGTAATTTTGTAATTTACTGGGCACAGACAAACAAGAGAAGTGGCATTGAGCTGTAACTGCTGATCAGTGTACAGAAGAACAAATTCTGAAACTAAAACTAAACTCCTTTGTGTCTGTAGAGGAATTTGTATTTGAGAACTCAGTTCCTTCATTTACTCTCTTCATTATTCTCACTGGAAAGCAGTTGTCTCTGCACTTCTCAGAGCCTGTTGTCCTGGAAATAGCTGATTTCATGAATTCAGAACCTAATTCTGGCCTCAGAGTAGCAGTCCTTTCATACCAGCTATTCCCCCACTGCTCCCGACTCAGCTCCTGGAGCAGTGCCTGGGCTGATGGAAGGAAATCTGTGCCCCAGGCATAGTGTGCTGCTAGACACCAAGTGAGAGCAGTGTGCAGGGATGTTCACATGAGAGATGTCCCCAGTATAACCTAAGGCACCTCCATGGATTGCTTTAATTTACAGTCTGTGACCACCTTTTCCCCTGTCACAGCCTACTTGTAGTGCTTATCAGTGTGCCCAGAATGGGCTTGCCCTTTGTTCCATGTGGTACAGGGATAACTGTCAGGTATTGTGATTACATTAGAAATTGGAGGTGTGCAAAGCGTCCAGGATTGGCACTGGGAACTTCATATTTGGTATTGTCTGAGCTGCATTTAGTTCAAGCAAATCACAACTGGCAAGACTGGAAAGCAGCTACATAATCTTTTTGGCCTGTGCTCTTGTTCAGACAATGCCAAATTATGGTGGATTGCCCCATGTCTGCACAGGGAGGGAATCCTTCAGCAATCCTTCCCCTGTCAGCACTGTGTGCCCCAACAGCGTTTGCCTGCAGCAGACTAATTTACTTTCCATGGACTCTGTGTGGGTTGGCTTATACCAAACATCCGTGACAATGTGGTCTTGGAGGCTGAGAGCTGTAGCAAAGACAATCTTGCACCAACCAGGCCAGGGAGATGAGTCAGGTCTGCAGCAAATCATAGGAGAGCAATAAAAATAAAATTAAAAAGTGAAATAAAACTGAAAGGTTGGACTTTCCCAGCTTTGCACTCTGCACTGATCCATATATTCTGATGCAAATGGCATTTCTGATTAGATCCGTGTTTAACTTTAAAAATCTGTTGGATTCATTCCCTCCTGAATCAGTGCCCACAGCAGGGGTGAGATGCTGGAGGTCCTGCAGGAGGTGTGGATGGTGCCCAGGCAGGAGGGAGCACAGTGCTGCAGAGCTGATGCATTTACAGGGCATTGAGCACAGGAGTGCTGAGCACAGAGCCTGACTGGAAACCCTCTGCAAAGTCTGGGCCCTGTTGTGACAGGACCAGCCAGGAGCAGCTGCCCAGTGGCTCTCAGGTCTGCCAAGTGGCAGCACTCACAGCAGGGCTGGCACTTGGAACAGGACCCCGTGCTGGGAGGGCTGAGGGGCAGCTGTGGTTCTGGGTGAGCCTGATGGAGAGCCAAGTGAGCCAGGGTCATTCTCAGCGTGTGCAGGGTGTGGGCTGAGCATTGGATGCTGATGGGCATGGAAAGCTGAGCTCTCACACAGCTTCCAGTGTTTCAGTACTTGTCTGTTGAAGTCACCAACCTTGCTGAGCAGGGATGCTAGTTACCTTTTCAAGAACATTTTGTGTCCTTTTCAAAGGATTTGTCCTACAGAGAATTGAAGCAAAATATCTCCAGTCTGCTGCAGGTATTTACACATTTACTTGATGGAAGCTTCCATGAGAGGTCCTGTTATTTTTCTTAAAGGACCAGACTGCTATTTCCACTGTTATTATTATCATCACTGTTATTACAGCATTATTCAGAAGTTCCAGGTAGAACTGGTCAAAAAATAAATGACAAAACATAATGTAACAGAGAAAGTAGAAATTACATAGACAGGAAGACAACTGTAATTTACAAAACATATCTTGATCTGTTTCCACTTGCTGTTTAGTATTCAGAGGCCTGATCTAACAACCAGTGAAGTCTGTAAAAATTCCTCTGACATCAGCAGGAGCTTGACCAGGCTGTAACTTAAGGCTTCATTGGGGAAAACACCTCATGACTGTGGTATCTTCTATCAAAATAAATAATTTTTTCTCACAATATGTAAGTAAGTGGTAAAAGAGTATCTCATAGTAAATTCTTCAGGTGAGTAACAAGCCTTTTAAAGCCTGAAGGAACAAAAAGGCTCTGATTTGATGATGGCACACTTCAAGCTCTATCTTTTGAGCAAGAGTTGAAAGTTAAATATGGTACCAAACTGTGCCCAGTGCTAGTGACAAAGTCCTTTGTGTGGCTCTTCCCAAGAGGCACTTAGGTACCTATTCCTCAGGGCTAAGACATAATCTTTCAGGGTTGCTTGTCACAGATTTGTCCTCGTGTCATGCATTCATCCCTTTTTGCAGAGTGTGATTAAGGATGTGCAGAGCAAGTCCTTCTGCAGACAAATGGTGTGATCCTTGCTACATGAGGGGTGTCCCATTTTAATTGTCAGAGCAGATGTGATTTTCATTTGCCTCCATTATTTGCCTGTGCCCATAATCTGCTGCTCTTACATTCTGCAGCCATGTCTCATGTCTCAGGGTGCAGACAGGGATATCCATCTTGAAGAGTGATCGTTTGGCCATTGCCAGTGCTTCCCTCTCTGAGTCGCTGTGCTCATATTAAATAGAGGCCTCCATCTATTATAAAGCCTGCACAAAGGTGGCACGTGCACGTGGAATATGTAGCTAATTTAACAACAAGCCATCTTTGGAGTAGTGTCAAAGTCTTGCAGTGCCAGTAAATTATCACTTGGGTGAATTTTAGAGCCTCAGGTTGCATCCTTAAACTGTTTGTTTTATTGCACTGTCTTCATAACTGTAGTGCCTAGAAGAACTTTAATATTGCAGATACTTTCATCTTCAGATTAAAATCACAAGGGAGCATCTTCTTCTGGTTAGGCTCTGAGCACATTAATAACGTATGCCCAGAGTGTGTTTGCCACAGTCATGCTGTCACCCAGAGCACTGTGCTGCACTCACTGCATGGATGAATGTCGTTCCCTTAGTGAGAGAGATGGAGACAAGAAGCACTGTCAGCAGCCTGGAGTAGCTGACATTTTCCCTGCTCTTGTGTAACTTCTGTTGTAGCCAGAGTTGGAACCAAAGGCCAATCGAAATGGTGTTTTTCTGGCAATGGAGTACTTTTTGTGAGAATACAGAATCACAGAATGGGATTGGAAGAGACCTCTGGAGATCATCTAGTCCAACCCCCCTGCTAAAGCAGTTCACTTAGAGCAGGTTGCACAGAATTGCATCCAAATGGGTTTTGACTGTCTCCAGAGAAGGAGGTTCCACAACCTCTCTGGGCAGCCTGTTCCAGTACTGTCACCCTCAAAGTGAAAAAGTTTTTCCTCATGTTCAGGTGGAACTTCCTTTGTTTCAGTTCATGCCTGTTGCCCCTTGTGCTGTCAGTGGGCACCACCTAAGCATCTGGCTCCATCCCCTTGACACACCCTATCTTCAGATACTTTTATACATTGATCAGGTCCCCTCTCGGTTGTCTTGTCAAAGCTAAACAGGCCCAATTCCCTCAGCCTTTCCTTGCAAGAGAGATGCTCCAGTCCCCTAATCACCTCTGTAGCCCTGTGCTAGACCCGATCCAGGAGCTCCATGTCTCTCCTGTACTGAGGAGCACAGAACTCAGCACTCCAGATGTGCCTCACTAGGGCTGAGTAGAGGGGCAGGATCATCTCCTTTGACCTTCCTAATGTTCTTCTAATGCATCCCAGGACACCATTGGCCTTCTTGGCCACAAGGACACACTGGACAGCTCCTTGTCCACCAGGATTTCCAGGTCCTTCTCTGCAGAGCTGCTTTCCAGCAGGTTGGCCCTTGGCCTGAACTGTTGCCTAAGGTTATTCCTCCCTAGGTGCAGGACCCTGCAGTTGCCTTTGATATACCAAGTATGCCTTTGAATACCAAGTAGATCTGTTTGAAATAGAATCATAGAATCAGCCTGGCTGGAAGAGATCTCAAAGATCACCGAGTCCAACCCTACTGTGGTTACTAGACCATGGCACTAAGTGCCACATCCAGTCTTGAGGATAGAGAGACAGGTGAGAGTGAAAATGAGGACCAGAAAATGCTGCTTCTCCAGCAAAGCTTTTCTTTGATTCCTACCAGGATATTTTATAAGCTAATACAAAATGGGGGCACAGTGCCTGAGGTACATCACTTCAGGTGCATCCTTATGCTGCCACTGTCATACACTGTGTTGGCACTGTGTATTGCATTTTCCAAAGATCAGACACATTTCTTAAAACTCTCCTTTAATTCAAATCCCATTCTTTCATTAAAAAAGGTTCTAATGGGAAAAAAAATTCCTGCAGATTTAGCTGATTTTTTTGTGTGTGTGTTCTGTCCCTTCTACAGAACAAGTGGCACCTGCACCCACCAGAGATGGGATTTTGAGCTGTGTCCAGGCAGTTAAGCTGAAGAAAGAAGCTTTATGTTGTAGTCAAAGAGCAGGCATTTGTTGCAGGTGCCTCCCTAGTTAATACCTTAGAGAAATGACCCAAAGGACCTGAAATAGAATGAAAGTCATGTGTGATTCAGGCCTGAGAAACCCTAAAGGTCATGCAGCACCATCAGTCTAGCGTGGGGATAGGCATAAGGCATGTGCCTTAGTTAGCCTTCCTTAACAACCTGATTTCCCACAAGGTATCAAGGCATCTAATAACATCAACTGAAAAAGAATCCCACAACACACATGGCATCAGTTACTCTTTATTTAGCTCCGTTTGTCAGTCACACTTGGCAGCTTTTCCAACATAATGAGAAGTCTGGTAACTTTGGCACTCTGGGGCATTTTCTTTCTTTTAACGTGGAGGGAATGGAGTTGAGGCCTTTTGTGGTAGGTGCACAGATGTTGTGCTGTCATTTAGAAGTAATACTTCACTCAGACAAACTGTCGTGGTAAGAAACCATGTTTGCTTTTGTTTTGAGGTGAAGGAAGCTGCGCATGAACCACAGATGGTGTTTACAGCTCGTCGTGCAGCTATCACTTTCCAGACAGATGGAGAAACATGGAGAGAACAGAAAGAGAAAAAGGCAGCTCTGATGGTTGGCATCTTAATTGGAGTTTTTGTACTGTGCTGGATCCCTTTCTTCATCACAGAATTAATAAGTCCCCTCTGTTCTTGCAACATCCCACCCGTCTGGAAAAGCATCTTTCTTTGGCTTGGCTACTCCAATTCTTTCTTTAATCCTCTCATTTATACAGCATTTAACAAAAATTACAACAATGCCTTCAAGAACCTTTTTGTAAAGCAGAGATAAAAGGTGACACAGAGGAGAAAAGGATTCCTTTATTGCATAATACAGAGATTTCATGAGGGAAACGTGCCTGTGATACGTACAGTTTTCATGCACAAGAGCTACTTGAGGGGATTTAGGAACAATGAAACAGAAGATGGAAGATGTTTGGATATAAACCCTCTGACAGTTTACAGTTCCCCCTTGGAAATACATATGTGCTGCTCCAGGGTTTGGCAAAGAAGATGGAAGCAGTGAATACCTCCCGTCTGCTCCTGAAATCAACATGTGTTAAGGTCTGCAAGCGAAGCTCTGTGTGTGTCTGTGACTGTCAAACCCAACACGACTGATCTCATCCAACCAGCCATGGGTGCCATGCTGTAGCTCTCTCATCATTAGCAAAGGCACCAGTGGGAGCTGCTAATTGAGCAATACCAAAATGTTTGTGATATGGGCAGGATGCTGGTTTCATGTCTGAGATTTATTTGGAAGGGAATAAACGTGCTGTATTCAATCAGTCGTTGAGTTGATGTGAAATTAAAGTGGATGACTAAGCCACTCAGAAACGTGCCCTGGTATGATTTGGGGCTGTGTGTGCTCTAGCAAGCAGCAGTGCTTGGTGACACTTGGGTCAGTTACGTCTCCTGGAGTCCCCTGGGTGTGAAATTTTAAAGCTATGTGTAAAATTATTCAGAGTTCCTGAGAATGTGCTCTCACTGCTTGCACAGGAGGAGATCTAGCGTGGAATTTTCTCCTGTGTGTGCTCTTACTCTGCAGCACTCAGGCTCTCCCTGTTTTCTGGTAGGTGAGCTCAAGATAGACACCCAGTACCTCCAAGTGATGGGGGACTGTATGCATTATTATCTCATGCTGCCCTAAAACTGAACGTGCATCTGTGTTACACCAAATGTGTCAGTCACTAGGTTTGCTGGCAGCAACACGTGGCTGCTTGGCAGTGGCAGGTGAGTGTCTGCACTGTGTCTGGGCTCCTTGCACCATGAATGTGGTGCTCAATCGCCCTACCTGAGTGAAGTCCAGTTTGTCACTTTTCATCAACTTCCTCCCACTGTAAGAAAGGTGTTGATGCCATCAGGTCTGAGTGACTCCAAAAACCCAAAGGGGTTCAAGCCCAAACCTTATATTGTTTTTCCAAGATCTGACAAGCACTCCTGTCCCAACAATGTATACATAAATAAATTAAAAGATAAGTATTTCCATACATACTGCCAACTCTCTCTCTCTCTCTGTATTTGTTCCTCTAGTGGGTTTTACTTCCTCCCCTGCCCTGAGGGGAGAAACTGACAGCATCTTTGAGTATTTGTAGTGTGGCAGCTTTTCACTGGCACAGTCTCAAACCCTCTTCCATCTCCTAAAGCTTCCTTAGGTACCATTGGGGCAAAACATCCTAGCTCTGATGGGGCTGAGCAAACATCACAGCTGAGGTTTAGCCTTTTACAGTGCCTTTCTCTGCCACTTCTGTGTTTTCTGCTGCTTAACCAACCCTTTCATTCAAAGCTTACCCTCAGGCAAACACGAACTGCACAGAATGACTAAAAGTCACGAATTTCAGCTCCAGCAATGTGCACCACTGACATTTTGATCTCGCTGCAGCATATCACACTCTGCCTCATCTCTGACACTTATGAAGCTAACAGGGGTTGCACTGATGCTGGTGCTGGCCATGAAGCTCCTACCAAAGCCTTGGTATCCTGTCAGTCTCTCCCAGGCAATGGTAGCAGGTGTATTTTCCATAGCTAGGAACTGACATCCTGGACAGCCATGTCAGCAAGGTATTATCAAGTAGCTTGTTGTATGCTGTAAAACAAAACAATGTGCAGCCTTCACTTGCTTAACTTTAAAGCAGAGTTTACTGCAGTGTAAAGAGATTGATGTACCTGGTGATGTCTAATTGAGCTTAGTGTCAGGTATATGGGCAACTTAGATTGAAGAAAGTTCCAGCTCCTTTCTAAGTGATTTGAACTATAAGTAGAGGTTCCTGCAGCTCGTTAAGGGAACCACCTGGCACAGATTGTGGTGAGGTCAGGCACTGCTGTACTTCGCACGGGCTGTGACAGTCCAGTGTGACCTGCTGTGCCTGCAGCCACAGCCACCTGTGTGTCTTGTATTCCTGCAGAAGATGCTGCTCTCACTGGGAATTCAGAAATTTTAATAACCTAGAATTTCAAAGAGTTGTTAGATAGTGGCTCAGACTGAAATGCCAATTTAAATAGCTTTCCCTTGTGACTCTCAACTTGCCTGCATATGGAACAGCTACTGTTCAAACTAGTGTTTGGAGGCTTAATTAAACCAGAAGAAAGATACATATGTAAGAGCCTGGAGTTTACTAAATCCTGCAGGCCTCGTTCAGAACCATTGACAAATTTTTCAAGTCAATTGAAGTTTTCATGTAAGAGAGTCACTGCTCTAAAACCCTTAAAATCCAGACAGGTGACATGGAAGGAGATGGTCATCTTGAGCTGGTGTTGAAAAGCATACAAATCTGCATGGGGCCATTCCTGAGGTTTCCAGTGATCACAGAATCATAGAATTAACCAGGTTGGAAGAGACCTCAGAGGTCATCGAGTCCAACCCTACTGTGGTTACTAGACCATGGCACTAAGTGACACATCCAGTCTCGTCTTGAAAACCTCCAGGGATGGTGAATTCACCACCTCTTTTAGCCAGATTTTAGTGCCTATATCCCTTTTGACTGGTAAGACAAGTAGTTACTACTACACAAATCTAATGCCAACCGTGCTGCACTGAAATTGAGGCCCATCACAGTCTGTGGCTGCAGCAGTGATACTTGTTCCAACTGTGTGTGCCAGACGACTGGAGAAACACCCGGGTCTGGGTCTGGTGCAGGAATCCTTCCAAGCAGCAACACAGGTTGTGAAGGTGTGTTTTACTTAGGCTTGGCAGCTGGAACTTGGGAAAACACCACCGGGCTGTAGGGTCACTGTGCAGGGCAGTGCAGCTGTGCCCTGGCACAGTTCTGCTGCAGACACTGAGCTGCAGAGAGCTGCCTGCAGCTAGGAGAGCTGGAGCAGGCACTGACGCAGCACACAACGCACTCTCCACCTCCTCAGAGATGAATTTAGCTTCCTTAGGAGGCGAGTCTGAGCCTCTGTAATTTTGCTGTGAGAAGTTCTGTAGATAACTAGCTAGTGCTCTGCCCACCCAGGCATCTGTGGCAGCAGCGTTACAGAATGACAGGCTTGCCCAGCAGGCAGCTTGGCTGCATACACACCCAGAGGCAACGAGCAGTAAGGACAGCTTCCATTTCATTACAGTGGCTTTAGAAAGCTCTTAACAAAATCAGCTTCCCACACTGGCTCTAAATGCAGGCTGCATTTAGAAGAGCAGCAGCACATATTCAGAATTTAAAATCCTGGTTTTTAATCACATGGAATTTAAGCTCACTGTGGGGCAAAGTAAGTATGTTATCTGGGGTTATGGCCTAACCTGCTGGATGCTGCTTCCCACTCATAGTCAGGAAAGGCACAGCAGGCACAGAGCTTTACCCTCTGATTTGTGTGCCAAACCCAGTAACCTGGTGCAACGGGAGCAAAGCTGTTGGATAGTCATCAACCCTGATTAAAATACATTCAAACTGTGGATAATATTCTACCTCCCTTGGTACTTTGTGATTAATTACTCTCACTATTAAAGCCTGGAAGTTTATTTTAATTGAAAAAAGAGGAAAGAGAAAAGCATGCTAAGATTTCTCTTTCTGGCACTCACACATTAGGGTTTAGATCTTATGTTATTGCTGTGTAGTTAATCCTTGGACCAAAGAAAATATGGAAAATACAACTCCCATATGAATTAAGATAAATGACACAGCATCTTGACTATCCAAATAGCAAAGCAAATAAAAAGCAGTTGTTCTAAAGAAACATCATTTGGCAGAGCTTAGACATGTGGTCATTTATTTTCCCAAACAGAGGCTGCCAGTTTGGAGTATACCAATCACCTCTGCTTGTACACAGTGGACTACTAGTTTTAATTTTTCTCCTGACACTGACTCTGCTCCTACAGAAACTCACTGGAGCCTATGGCTCAGCAGAAGGGCATTGCTGCACCCTGCAGCAAAGCTCTGAGAGCCCTGCAGCAGCTGTACTGGAATTGAGGCCTGAGTTTGTTATGCTGTTAAGAGTCCAGGCTGTGCAGAAATGAAGAGCTTTGGAAGATGAGATGAACAGAAGATGCTAATAACCCTCTATGCTCCTGTCTCCAGGAGACCCACATCCATGCCACAGCCTCCACAGTGAAAGCTCTTCAGAAATTCATTCTTGTCCCCAGGAGCTGCGGGTCCTTCAGCCACACTCCAGCCTCTGCTCCTAACGAGCTGGATCACACCATGGCTGGGTAGATACTGCATGAATACACAGACTTGGGTTCATACAGTTTTTTAGATAATAGACTATCCTTAGAGTTTGTCATCCAGCACCCAAACAAGTAAGATTTGTGTGTTGTCTTGTCTTGTGTCCCACTTAGATACCTAATTGAGCAAAGCTGCTCTGAGGTTAGGTGCACCAGCCAAGCCCAATTCCTCAGCTGTCTGTTTTGCACAAGCACCAGCAGCTGTACAAAGGGAGACAGAGGAAGCAACACCCTTGGTCTTAGGCAAGCAATTTTGTGTTTCTGAACTGCTTGGCTGAAAGTTTTGCCATCTCCTGTATGGCTGTGTATGCCCATACCATTGTGCCACTGGAGAATGAAGAGTACCATGTGCCACTTTCCCACAGAATTCTTCAGGTGTCATACATTTCCCCCCCAACAAATACTGTCTGGTTCAGGAATCTACACACTAAGGTCACACTTCGATAAGTAGGTTTTTCATGAAATAAAGAGGAACAAAAAAAGAACCCTTAAAGAAAATATTGGTCACATTTTAACTTGCCTTCAAGGATTTTCTTTTATTCACACAAGTGGTGACTTGGTGCAGTACCTCATCATCCATTGTGATATACTGTGACAGTAAGATTGTCTGGATTTTGTCAAGTGTATAGCACTGATTT